ACAAAATCACATCTACGTTACTGGGTAGTTATTTTATAAATAACTTTAAAGTTAACTCATGCACGTCTTATCACCTAATACCAAGCATGCATCATGCAAACGACAGTTTTGTCAATAAGGCTTTAATACATAGCTTTCGATATTTACAATTTCATTTGTTTTCTCACAGACCTCATTGTCATCTCTCATAATTATGTGTTTTAAATAGTCCTGCCTCACATAGATTTTCACTTCTTTTCTATGTTTCGAACCAACATAGTCATACGTGACCATACTTATCAACTCCTCCAAGATCTAAAACCTCATTTGCCCAATTAATCCAATTTCTTTAATTGTTCTAAAAAACTCTTTCATTAATCTATCGTTTCCCCCTAAACTTAATAATAGATTGGCACTACACTTAACTTTTATAACTTATTACTATCTATTATTGGAATATTCCAATTCTATTCTCTTGCTTGCTGCTCATCATCTCCCATGCGCTCTCGCCTCCAACAAGCTATAATACCCGTTCGCTTTAGCCGTCACTGGCACGCTCTGAAATGGTGCCGCGCAATGCGCCATATCTACCGTGGAAGAACACTTTTACAACAAATATATGCATTTAAATGTAGAGGAGGTATGCTAGCATAGATTATATGAGAAGAATCCACCATAGACTATCTAAAAAATAGTAAAAACCCTGCATTAAGGTCACCGCGCCGCGTATACCAATCAGTTACACAACTGGCTACATTAATTGTAACGCAGGCATACTCAAAGAGTATATTTGAAAACTGGGGGCGGTAGAAGATGGGTGAGGGTGGGCGAGGGACAAGGTAGACAAGGGAAGGATGGCAGGGGATGAAGTAGGAGTTTTGCACCCTACAGCTCAGGGCGCTCTCCTAATTATTAACACAGGTTTACTGGTAACAAATTATTACAGAAATCTATGCTGAGATACCCCCTAACCATATTAAATGTATATTCATCACAAAATATAACTCCTCGCGTGAGATATTGCACATGCGCGTAGACACTAACGTAGCCAGCTTGGGTACTGACTGGCATACGCGTCGGTGACCTTACATGCAAGATCTTCCTACTATTTATTTGGATAAAGCTACTGATAGAATTTTATCATATAAATCTATGCTAGACTACCTCCTCTTGATTTTAAATGCATATTTGTTGTAAAATATTCTTCTTCTCGATAGATATTGCGCATCCGCGAGCACCGTTTCAGGCGTGCAGTGCGGACTAAAGTAAACTGCATAATATAGCTTGCTAAGAGAGCGAGAAAGGTGGGAGACTAAGCAGATGCAGCAGGCAAGATAGTTGGAGGCGGTAGAAACAGAGTGAGGCTTAGCGAGGGACAAGGTAGGCAAGGGTAAGGATGGCAGGGGATAAAATAGGTGTTTTGCACCCCAGAGCTAGGGCGCTCTCCCAATTATAAACACAGGTCTACTAATAACAATTCATTACAGAAATCTATGCTGAGATACCTCCTAACCATATTAAATGTATATTCATCGCAAAATGTAACCCTTCTCGTGAGATATTGCACATGCGCGAACACACTAACGTAGCCAGCTTGTGTACTGATTGGTATACGCGGCGGTGACCTTACATGCAAGGTCTTCTTACTATTTCTTTAGATAAGTCTACTGGTGGAATTTTATCATATAAATCTATGCTAGAATACCTCCTCTACATTTTAAATGCATATTTGTTGTAAAATGTTCTTCTCGGTAGATATGGCGCATGCGCGAGCACCATTTCAGACGTGCAGTGCGGACTAAAGGAAACGGCGTAATATAGCTTGTTGAGAGAGCGAGAGCGATGGGAGACTGATGAAAGCAAGCAAGCAAGAAGATGGCAAGGAATGAATGAATGAATGAATGAAGGGGGTGGGGATGATGATGGGGATGGGGGATGAAGTAGCAGTTTTGCACCCTACAGTCTAGGGCGCTCTCCTAATTATAAACACAGGTCTACTGATAACAATTTATTACAGAAATCTATACAGAAATACCCTCATTAAATGTATATTCATTATAAAATATCACTCTACTTGAGAGATATTGCACATGCGCGAACATACTAACGTAGCCAGCTTGTGTACTGACTGGTATACGCGGCAGTGACCTTACATGCAAGGTCTTATTCCTATTTAGTTAGAAAAGTCTACTGATGGCATTTTATCATATAAATCTATACTAGAGTACCTCCCCTTCGTTTTAAATGCTATCTAGAAAATGAAAGTCTCTTTGCCCCAAAATGGGAAAGATATTAACCGGTAGATGGCGCCACACCTGGAAAATTTCCCATAATTCCATATAAGTGGAAACGTGTACACAATTGTCTACGTTTTGCGAGTTGGTATTTATTTATTCATTTAACGTTAGGTTCATGCGTTAATAGGGAAACTTCAACCTTGACATAAAGATGACGAATTCACGGAATTTTTGGTGTTGTTTAGTAGTTATGGTTTTAGCTGTTAATGATGTGTCACACTGTTTATACCTCCCTGGACTTGCACCAGTGAACTACTGTGAAGATCCGACCGCAGCATCGCCCTCAGGCACATGCCAGGTAACTTCCGACAAGAAAATACTGCCAGTATTATACAATATACACCCTGTTTTTCTGTTATCAAAGAAAAAATATACTTCTTCACAAGATACAAGGAGGTAAAACATTAGACCGAATAATTCTGTCCCATATAACCTTTTTTATATTTTGGTGAGGGTTATATTGGGACACAATCGTTATTCACTTCTTAAAAGATTGTTTTTCAGACACCCCGCTTCATTTAACTTTCGTAAATAACATTCGCCATTTACAAACAATCAGACCAATCAGAGCGAGTGTTACAATAGCCTGGTTCTCGCTTGCAAGGAGCCCTTGCTCGCCTGTATCTGTGGCGCTGCAGGAGGGCAGATAGACTCGCTCTGATTGGTCTGATTTTTTGTAAATGGCGAATGTTATTTACGAAAGTTAAATGAAGCGGGGTGTCTGAAAAACAATCTTTTAAGAAGTGAATAACGATTGAAGTGAATGTATACACATATCTGTAGCAAGGTAAAGTCATGTAGAAGGAAACGGTAGGGTTTTTTTCGCGCCAATAGCGGCATACGGGCCGCATTCGCAGCGCATGCATTTTGCATGCGATCTCACGAAATTTCAATGAACCCCGTTCTGTCCCAATATAACCCTCACCAAAATATAAAAAAGGTTATATGCGACAGAATTATTCGGTCTAGTAAAACATATGATATAATCAGCAGTGATTTTACATCTCTACTAAAAAAATCAACTTATCAAGTGATTTTTTTAGATGGCTTGCATCCAATTAACGCACGAAGGGTCGTTGTCGTATAATGGCGTATAATATGTACCCGAGGTAACTATTTGATATGGTTAGGGTTAGGGAGTAGGTGTAGGCGACATACCGGTGCTCGCCGACACCTCGGGTACTATACTCGGGTACATATATGATATACGACAACGACCCCTTCAGCCCAATTAACTGCTTTCGTAAGGTAGTTATTTCATGAAGTACAGTTACACATGTCAAATGACCGCTTTGTGCTGAAATCAGCAATGCCCATAGCAGTGTTTCCCCTTGCCAAAAAGGTCTGTGCGGTGGTAAAAAAAAATTCTGTGTGTTTGCGCGCTTTGACTCCTTTTGTTTGAGGTCCTTGCAAAGCGAGCACTGCATGTGATCAGCTAGTGGGGTCCGGGGGTCCGCGAAATTTTTGGAAAAATGGTGCAATTTGGTGCATTCTAAGCTTTATTTCGATTTTAGTTCAATAAAGTTTAGTTTATTGCTGGAAGAACAGTGATTTTCGTCAGCGAGGTGGTGTTTTGGACAAATTTCTGTGAGGTGGCTGAGAATTTGAGCGAGGCGGCCCACCTCGCTCGTGTCAATGCAGGGGAAGCACTGCCCATACCACCTTCTGTATACACCTGCAATCATCGGTGCCTGACACCATGTCACAGCTTGTCGGACAATTGTGCGCACTTTTGGTTTGGTACTCATACAGTGTATACACATCGCACAAAGAGACAAAGAACGCGCACATACGCGCGTGTACCTCATTCCGCGACCAGAACCAGAATCCTCTACTCTTACATCTCTCTTCTATATATCCCCCCAAAACTCATACAAACATCTTGCACGCACATGTAACCGTTCTCACAGACCGCGTCCTACCCCCATTTCACAATGACCCTAGAAACTGCCTAACATAAAACCCGCTTATCCAACTCCTTGTAACATCAATGCAGCCGCCCAATATGCGCGACGCTGCATCTACACAGACTGGTCACCAAACAACCCTAGTCTAGCCTCGCTGACTAATTCATGTAACACGTGCAAAACACATGTTACAACCTACCCTATTTTTTTCGGCATGTAACGGTAACCACACATATATTTTGTTTTGGCCTAATTCGGTTTGTAATCATTAAAGGAATAATAGGCCCATTGATTATGCAAAGTTGACGAATGCTACAATAACTGGCACCTTGTCTAGTTAATAAGTACATTACCTTATAGCCAAATGCGTATTAGTTTGTCCAATATCACTGCTGGTTACTAAGAAATGTCTAATTGAAATCCGCAGTCCAAGAAATCAGTTGACTGACTTGTTTACAGTTTCGAAACCGCATACGACGAAACGGGTGTGATACAGATTTATAGTGCACCGGACATTTTCGCACGCATGCTCGGCGTATGCAATGCTAGCGATAGTACAGTACCGTAACTGTATACGTAACAGTAGCTCTGATTGTAATGAACGTGGAATCCACGTACGAATCACGGACGCTCGTGATAATGAAGTAGGCTGTGTTGGGGGCCAAGACTATGGGGGGGATCGCGGACTAACCACGGCCACAGACTAAACATGGAAAGCAGCCGGCACTACTTGGCGGTATTGGTCAAACGAATACACCTGTGTCCGAAATTGAACACATGTGGGTACCCGTTCATTAGCACCCACGGTTAGTTACTTGTGCCTCAATACTAGTGATGTCACGATCATCGATTATACTCGATCATCGGTTGAACAGTGGCTCGAACCAAGCGCTTGGTTATAAAAATCCATAATCGATTTAATCAAAAAAAAAAATATATAATTTTTTTTTTTTTTAAATTTGAACAAGAAAACTTGGAAAAGTGATGAGAATCAGTACATGTGTATTTAACACAGCAGTAGTTAAACAGTGCAAAACAAACAGTAACACAGGGCGCTCAAACAAGCACATACCATGCACACACGTACATGCACACGACGTTACGCGCCACGCGAGGCATTGCCAGACACGCCGAGTAACCGATTTTAACCGGATCATCGCCGTTACTTTGGGTCCAACGATGACGACTTATTGAAATTACAACCGATTGACAAACACTACTCAAACGAGAATTACACCCAGAGCATTAACATTCTACTAGCCTCATTAGTCGCTTACACAGCATCCCAGCACAAACAATTCTCTGCGGCAAAACACCGTACGCCAAACATTTGACGTCACCGAACGTAATGCGCGGCTATTTTGCTTTGGCCAACTAATTAAGCGTTGGCGCCAGATTACCAGATTTACGGATTTCAATTAGACATTTTTCTTAGTAATTAGCAGTGATATTGGACAAACTACAGAAGGTGCCAGTTACTGTAGCATTCATCAACTTTGCATAATCAATGGGCCTATTATGCCTTTAATTATGTGGTTGCAGCTGGCGCCATCATGGGTATATCAGTGCATTGGCCATTAATCATAGTTATCTACATGTATAATTATCAATAATCAGGCTTTCATTTTTAAGGGGCGTCGATCGCGCTCGCGCTCCACCGCGCCACCCGAAATTGTGCCATGGTGCGAGTGCATCATCCGCCTCATAAAATTGGTTGAAATCGCGCACCAAAAGTATGTGTATTATGTTGAATAGCACTCCATAGAGTTGTTAATGTAGGGGGTACAAAGAGGTTAGCAACAACACAACAATTTGTGTGTGTAAGTAACTGAACGTATGGCAGAGGTACAGGTTACTCACCTCTGGTTTATACAACTAGACAACAGCATCCAAATACAGGTACCTACACGGTAGCCACAAGTTACCTGCTCGTTTTCCACTATACGTTGCCAGAAAGTGGTTTTCTGCCGACGTGAAACAGTCGTAGGGCGCTGGAGGGGCTACATACGTGGCTACTACGTACAAGTAATTTGGCTAGTTTGTTTGATGGATGTATGATTGTTGTGCTGAAATATGCAGGTACATGCGATTAGAGTATCTAAGGATGAAAATCAGAATAAATAAAACCAGTTTATTTTTACATCGCATCAACCTTATATTAATCTGTGTGCTAGTGTTGGGTTGTTGGATGAAAAGAATGTAATCATGACGGAAGCCATTGAATGAATGAAGGTAAAGATGAATGATAATCAGTGGATTGACATGACACCAATTTTCGTTTGGATTTCACTCTAGACTGAGGGATTGGTCATGATTCCATCATCACACCCCAAGGGATGATGCGAGACCTCAAGGAGCTCTCCATCATGCCTCTTAAAGGTGTGATTATGGAGCGTGAAAAGACCCCCTATGGTGTCCCAGGGGAGTCATTAGTAGTCCTCCTGTACTTTTCAAATCTGAAAGCCTGAATAATAAAATAAGTGTAGTACTTAAAAGTGTAATTGTAGTAATTGTAACCACATTGCCTTTTCTCTAGAAATTTGTCAAACTCTTTGTGAATCGACTCGACTCTGAAGAATCAATCATCCCTTATGAGTACAATCAGTAAGTACCATGATATGAATATTTAATGACAAATTTATCATTATTCACTCCTGATAATAATTAATATACGACATTGTAATAGCCTGTTGGAAATTATGTAATAATTAATAGGAATATGGCACTTTAGAACTCAAATGTGCTAAGTACAGAATTTTAACCTCGCGAAATTGGTACTAAACTATAAAACTAGTATTAATTGTTACACTTTAATTATTTTTTTGGGCCGAATAAACAATAGCAGTGTAGTTCAATGACAAACTACAGGAGTTTTCATGTCATGTTCCCAAGGTGACGGTATCAAAAACATCCATAATTACTCAAATATCTGTGTACGTGCACATGCGCGGTGTTATGTGTGGGTATGAACTGATCATGTATGTACGTAGGTAACGTACGTAGCATGGTAAAGTGTCGTGTGTCATGATAATCGTGATTTCGTGATAATGATGTGTGTTTTTGGCAGCTTTGACTTCTGCACAAACATGGAGGAGGTGCCATCACCTGTGGAAAACCTTGGTCAGGTGGTGTTTGGGGAGAGAATCAGGCCCTCACCATACAATGTACGTATCTACTTCACCCTGCTAACTCAACTGTCAGGTGCACACAGGGTGCAATTTTTGCGAGTTTAATCGGAACCCATGCAGATTTGTTACTTCATAAACCAAGAGGCGGGCTCTAAATTTGACAGATCCATACAGATTTGATTAAATTTACCACCTGTGTGCATTCCTGACCACTTTTCTTTTCGGTACTTTGCATAATGTATGCCGATGAAATTGCATCTGAAATTTCTATTTCAATCTGAAATATAGTCTTTTTATGTTTATGATTCACAGAGGGTTATAGTGCACAATGAAAATCTGTGAGTGTTTAGTTAACAACTCCATACAGGTTTTCTTGGAGTGCATTTAACAAAGTCATGATAAATCCACACAGAAGGATCAATTTTCCATTTGGATCACTAACTTATTCTTTGAAATTCAAGCTATAATGTTATATCATAAAATTATCAAGACTGAATTAACAGGGGTAGAAATTAACTTTTGAACACGGGAGTCCGCAGTCTGAGAATGAGGGAATGAGGGATGAGGGAGTCTGCAGTCTGAGGTTCAAAATGAAAGATATTAACTATAACGCATGTGCTTATTTTTAAGATTCATACAGTTGCACGTCTGACAAATTTTCTTGGGACATTAGCTGAAAAAAATGCGGTAATTCCGCGAGGCCGTGCTCCGGAACGAACTAGTTAAGTCAGTATCGCAGAATTTTCAGGGAGTCGCACGGACTCCTGCATATATGTCAAATCAGGGAGTCCGACCGTAAATCAGGGAGTATTTGACTCCGGACTTTTAATTTCGCACCCTGCATTAATTATGTTGAAAGTGCATTATAGTACCTTGTTCGAATTATGAGTAATGAGCCACTTCATTAGAACTACGTATGTCGTAGGTTTGGCATCTGAGATGCATTGAGCGTGCAGCGTCGTCATCTCGACTAGGATCATGTTATGTAGACGATTCTTTGTTATTACAGGGTGCAAAATTAACGCGAGTCCGGAGTCAAATACTCCCTGATTTACTGTCGGACTCCCTGATTTGACATATGCAGGAGTCCGTGTCACTCCCTGAAAATTCTGCCATACTAACTAATTCGTTCCGGTGCACGGCTTTGCGGAATTACCGTATTTTTTTCAGCTAATGTCCAAAGAAAATTTGGCAGATGTGCAACTGCATGAATCTTAAAAATAAGCACATGCATTAATATCTTTAATTTTGACCCTCAGACTGCCGACTCTCTCATTTTTCCGGGGACTCCCTCTTTTTGAGGGTAGGTAGTAGTCCGTTGGACTCCCGTGTTCAAAAGTTAATTTCTACCCCTGTTATTCTAACAGGACATATATAACGGCATACCGATCACCAGAGTATACGGGAAAAATAGCCGTACCAGCTTAGTATATGTAAATGAAGATTGCACACACCTCATTTGCAACCTGGGTACCTTGTGCATTTCGTGTAGCATCCTGGCATTCTAAAATCCCATCTTCGTTAACGTTACGTGGAAGAAGAGGGATTCTTCCCGGTTTATCTCCTTAATCAGTTTGGTTTCTTTATATGGCATCTAGGTTTCTGTAACAACTGGTTTTGAAGTGGTGTGGTGTTGAATAATATTAATTGAAAAAATTAATTGAATCGAATGTTATTACCCGCAGATTACGTTTGAAGAGAATCAGCATCGCAATACGTGTATCAGCCTCTGTTCAAAATCCTATAAAAAGGGCAACCATGATGACATGAAGAAGCTAAAGTTTCTGATGAAAGGGATCTTCCTCAACTACCAGCACCACTGGTGAGTAACATACACTGCACATCTGCATCACTCTGCCTCACTAAGTATCGGCAAGCGAAACGCGCAGAACTTTGAGTAAATTAAATCGCGATTAACTATAGTGACGTGATTTAGCTGCTCGTACGTCTAGCTATGTCTTTCGTCAAGTGTACCGAAAAGTGTAACTAAATGGTTTGTTCTGATTCATATGCAGTTGGAACCGTATGTTATAGTACAGTTATGTACTAGTACAGTTATGTACTAGTATAGTTATGTACTAGTACAGTTATGTAGTGTACAGTTATGTACTAGTACAGTTATGTACTAGTACAGTTATGTACTAGTACAGTTATGTACTAGTATAGTTATGTACTAGTACAGTTATGTAGTGTACAGTTATGTACTAGTACAGTTATGTATTATTACGTATTAGTAATATTTTGGCTGGTGAACACTGAACTCTGCTAGGCACACTGTACCATGAGAACTGCATACTCAGGGTAACCTCTGTGTGCACTGTACTTACGTTCTGCTCTGAGTACACAGCAAGTGCAGTGCAAATAAAGGATTGAACACTAGTACATTAGGCGGTCATCGGCGAATTGAGCAGGAAGGTGTCTGTGAGAAAAAATACAGGTCTAGGAAATGTTCAAAAAGAGGGTTAGGAAGGGTATCATTTCAGTGCACTACTGTCCTAGCTGGAATATTGAACAGCCTGGTGGTTAAAGTGATTACGTCACCGTAAATAGTAAAAAAAAAATATATATTTCCACTTTTTCACAAAATACAATTAATTCTGTTGACTTTTTAGCTCATCTGACATAGTCGGTTGTTAGTTCTTACTTTTAATGTAAAAAAATGGAAATTTTTTTTTTACAAATTTTACCATAGAAAAGTCGTGACGTAGTCAATTTAAGGCAAATAAGTGGGGCAATGGTTGTTTAGGCCAAGTAATGAAATGTGTGTCTGTGTGTGCGTGGTCCAATTATTTATCCACTGCATACGGACACAGGGGTTCTGGGGAGTCTCCCCGGCGCAATTTTAGAAATTTGAACGTCTCCGACTGCATTTGAGGCACCCTGAAACCATTTTCACAACAGCGGTGTTAAATTTGACAACGGCGGTGCGCCACTCTGCCTCTTATGTATAAGAAACCCTGTGTATGAGTCTAACGCCGCGTGGTTGCTGCGTGTATGAGTCTAACGCTGCGTTGATGCTAGTGATGTCACGATCATCGAATATACTCGATCATCGGTTGAACAGTGGCTCGAACCAAGCGCTTGGTTATCAAAATCCATAATATGTGAGAAAAAATACAGGTCTAGGAAATGTTCAAAAAGAGGGTTAGGAATGGTATCATTTGAGTGCACTACTGTCCTAGCTGGAATATTGAACAGGCGGTTAAAGTGATTTTGTCACCGTAAATAGTAAAAAAAAAATATATATTTCCACTTTTTCGCAAAATATAAGTAATTCTGTTGACTTTTTAGCTCATCTGACATAGTCGGTTGTTAGTTCTTACTTTTAATGTAAAAAAATGGAAATTTTTTTTTTACAAATTTTACCATAGAAAAGTCGTGACGTAGTCAATTTAAGGCAAATAAGTGGGGCAATGGTTGTTTAGGCCAAGTAATGAAATGTGTGTCTGTGTGTGCGTGGTCCAATTATTTATCCACTGCAGACGGACGCAGGGGTTCTGGGGAGTCTCCCCGGCGCAATTTTAAAAATTTGAACGTCTCAGACTGCATTTGAGGCACCCTGAAACCATTTTCACAACAGCGGTGTTAAATTTGACAACGGCGGTGCGCCACTCTGCCTCTTATGTATAAGAAACCCTGTGTATGAGTCTAACGCCGCGTGGTTGCTGCGTGTATGAGTCTAACGCTGCGTTGATGCTAGTGATGTCACGATCATCGATTATACTCGATCATCGGTTGAACAGTGGCTCGAACCAAGCGCCTAGTGATGTCACGATCATCGATTATACTCGATCATCGGTTGAACAGTGGCTCGAACCAAGCGCTTGGTTATCAAAATCCATAATCGATTTCTTTTCTTTTCTTTTTTTTTTAAACTTGAACAAGAAAACTTGGAAAAGTGATGAGAATCAGAGATATCATCGCTACTATACAAGTTATCCTTTATTAACATACATGTATTATACACACAGTAGTAAACAGTGCAAAACAAACAGTAAACAGGGCTAAACAAGCACATACATGCACACACGTACATGCGCACGACGTTACGCACACGCAGGGATTCAACACCCCGAGTAACCGATTGCAACCGATCATCGGTTACTTGGGTCGAACCGATGATCGATTACGAAATTACAACCGATTGACAACACTAGTCGATGCTTGCAGGATCGTGGACAACATGCCGGTCACGTGGTGCTATGAGGTGGAAAGCAATCAGCAATACTGCTCCACAGGTTTCCCGATCGGCTGCTTCGTCGACCAGGGAGGCATACCGAAAGACGCCTGCGTCATCAGTGTGAGTACCTATATACGCTGTCTATTTTGCGGTGGTTTAATTTTCGCGAATTCCGTGAACGCGTCCCCCGACCGCGAAAATAACGACACGCGAAAATGACAACACGCTGTTCTTCACTGATTCGGGAATTCGCCGACCGCGAAATTAACCGCTCGCGAAATTGTCCGTCAAGTCTGAATTCGAGAAAATATCTGTACGTGAAAAATATGGCGTATACAGTATGCTGTGTGGGGTCAGAGGTGGGGTGGGGTCAGAGGTCAGCGCCCACCGTCACATGGTTCGCGTGCAAGCGTGACCTTACTGTGACCCAGCCATGACCTTGCCCTGACCCCAGGGGACCCTACGATAACCCTAACCTTACCATGACCTTTTCCTGACCCTACCATAACCCAGCGTGACCCTACCCTGACCTGGCGTGACGCTTCCCTAGCCTTACCGTACCCTCTCCCTCTGTGACCCCACCGTGATGTCACCGTGACCCGGCGTGACGCTTGCCAAGCCCGCCGCCGTCACCCCTCGCCACGGCGCTGGCGGTGGGCGTACACCAGAGATGCCAACCACTGCGATTCATTCGTATTTTATACGAATTTCTATACCTTTTGCACCACTACGACCAGTTTCTATCAAACTACGAATTTCACTGTGATCAAAAAAAAATAATAATAATTTGTCAATTATTGTCATTTTTTTTCAATTTATTGTCATTTTTGACCCTCAGAATGCAGGAAATTGCATCTCAGAATCAAAAATTTTTCTGGGGGGCATGCCGGACCCCCCCCCCCCTAGCAAACTCGGGTCACTACGTGACCCTCGGACTACTAATTTGATGGCCAGAAACTACAGATTGCTTCAGATATGTGTTGGCGTCTCTGGCGTACACGGTGCCGTTGTCGTCGTTGTGTTTCAGCGCACCTACAACGCGAAGAACACTCACTACGTCTTCAATCACGTTGACCTGATCATCGCCTACCATCCACCGACCTCATCCGAGGACTGGGGAGAGGCGCTGGGGATCGGCAACGGCGGACGAATCGTCTCCATCAAGGTCATTCCGAAGAGGTATAATAATATATTATACTTATTATTATCATTATTATTATTATTATTATTATTATTATTCCGAAGAGGTGAGCCGTCGAGATGGGTTCGGGGGGCGTGACGGAAGCCGCAGGAAAGGGTGGAAGGCGATGGGGCCACAATTAAAAAAATCTTTGTTTGCCCTCACCCGACCCAGGCTGAAAAATTTGGGTAGGTAGGTAGGCAGGCTTAAAAAATGTTTGAGG